CGTTGCCCTCGTCGTCGCCGTCGCCGTCGCAGTCCGCGTCGCGGCTGGGCCCCCCAACTTGGACACTTTGCGAAACGTTTAAACCAACAATTACGCGAGCATAAATCAAACAGTCGAGTAGAGTGAGAGCCGGGCCAGGCGGGCGGTCCAGGCGAGAGTCGCGTGCAGCTACGAGCCGAGCGACGTGACGTTCAGGCTGTGGACGCAGGAGACACAGGAGACACAGGAGACGCCAGGAGTCGGCACCGGGACTGACTGGCAATGTTGTTGCTGATGATGCTGCTGCCGTTGCTGCTGCTGCTGCTGTTGCTGCTGCTGTTGCTGTTGCACGCCGCGCCTACTGCCGATGAGGATCTGAGAAGGTGAATGGAATGTTACACCAGCAGCCGGACTGCCAGCTCCGACACCGACACCATCTGCTGTCACAGAGGCAACGCCTCAGCTCCAGCTCCAGCTCCAGCTCCAGCTTCAGCTTCAGCTCTTTCCACATTGGTTTCAGGTGTCAATAAATAATGCCCCGTGTAGTCGCAGGCGGCGCGGCACTTGCTGATCTCGTTGCGATTAGATTGGGCTCGGTGTCAGGGCCGTCGCTGCGCTCAGCGAATTTAAATAATTTTCAAATTAATTAAACACTTTAAAAACAATTTGCACTGCCGCCTAATTGAACGCCGAGCATGCCAAGGCTGTAGCATAGCTGGCGCATGCGCCTCGGGCGTATGTCCACTTTGACCAGACTATGCAGCCAGCTCTGGACGTGTCTGTCGTAGCTTGGGAGCTTCAATTTCCAAAATGGTTAAGGGAATGGGAAATTCTAATCAAGGCTGTAAGCTAAACAACAATGTTGCGTTACTTTAGCTTACGGCTCGTGCGAAGGTCTTTCCTTAAGGTTCGATTCGTTAACCTTAGTCATTTTTTACATTTTTCAATGGAATATTTATAAATTTTCATTCGCATTTATATAGATAATAGTTAATATTTTGATTATTGAGACTTATATTTACTATTTATAAAAATCGAGAAAAACTTATGGAATGTATTTTTTTATGCTATCCGATCGGCCTTTCAATCATTTAAAGAGAACTCACTTGGGGCGTATTTCACACCTTTCGGAAAATCCACGACCTTGGGTGAAAAATGCGATTAGTTCGTCTTCAAATGGGTGGAAAACGATAACCTCAACTTCAACTTTTCGTTCTTTTTAAAGTATATATATTCTTGATCAGCAACAATAGCCGAGTCGATCTAGCCATGTCCGTCTGCCCGTATGTATGAACGCAAGGATCTCAGAACCTATAAGAGCTAGAGATATCGATATCCTGTTTTTTGGGCAATTTTGGTAAATAATAAGAGCTAGAGCCACCAAACTTGACATATAGATTCTAAAATAGAATATATATATGCATTTGATGTTGGAAGAAGAGGGTTCAGGGTATCCCCTAGTCGGGAGCTCCCGACTAGAACCTCTTACTTGTTATAATTGTTTTATTTTGGTGAGGATCTATGCTGAGATATAAAAATCGAGCCTCCTCCAACATCAATCGAATGTTTCTTGGATTGAGAACATATGTACATATCTTTTGTATCCCAGCTGGAATAAGGAAAGACTCCTGTGGTTTCCCTACGTAAGCCCGTTGCACTTATCCAAATGTTGACCTCCTTCAAGCTGATGCATTCTAGTATCTTGCTTTGTTTCTGTGTCAGCAATACAACTCCTCCTACTGGTTGATGCCCATCTCGGGTCAAGTCAAGGAAAGCAATTGCTTTTATTTTGCGCCTGCACGCAGCTCACATGACTTTCCCGGTGTTGAATTTAATAAACATTTTGGCAGTTATAAATAACCAATTTCCTTTTCTGAATCCTTCGATTGGCTACCCGAATTGGTGGTAGACCCAAAACCCACACACAAACCCAGTTGCCCCGTTGAGGGGCATTCAAATCGAAGCCGTTGAATAAATCAACGCCACAAATACACAAAAATTGAATTGTGGCCATGGCTTGCGGCGCTTGACCGGCTGCCCCCGGAACGCACTGAGCCGGACCGAACAAGCCGGCTGCCAAAGGTGTTAATATTCAATTAAAATTCTAGGGATACGGCTCGAATGCCTAATAAATTAACGCTCAACAAGCGACTTGCCAATTTCAATTTGTTTTCGTATCACTTTTCTGCGTCTGGCCCGGCGGCTCCGACTGGAAGGAGGCGGAGGATGCCCGAGACCGGCTGCATTATTTATTGAGCTGCGCAGGTGGCAAGGGTTTACAGCTTGAACAAGGCAAAGTTGAGATTTCCAATGGACTGGCGAGTTGTTGCTGGTCTTTATGAAAGTGGTGTGATTTTTTCACACATACACAGAAAAATGTTTTTGAACTGAACCGGTTCAAGTCCGGAACAAACTTGAAACCCTTTCCCTAAACCAAACCAGTTGCCCAGTTTTAATGAAACTACGTTACATTTATAAATAATTGATCTTAATTACAAATATAATCAAATATGAAATGGCTGAATTCTTTATGATAATTAAAAAGGCTGCAATTAAGCGAACCGGTTCGGTTTAATTTTCTACTATGTATCGAACCTTAAACCAAAACAGTTTCTCACAAATCATCTTGACTGAAAATCAAACAAAACAACATTTTATTTATCAAATATTTTTTAATATAACAAAGTTACATTTATAAATAGTTAACCTAGGGCTGCAATCTAGTTGTGAACCGAACCTATTCGAATCAATGAACCGAATATAACGGTTGCAATCTATTTGTAAACGGAATCTGTTCGAATCAAGGATTTTTTATAAATGAATCGAGCCTTAAGCCATCTAGTTTTTCAAACAAAAGTCGAATCGATACCCAAACCAAATCATAGTTATACAAAAAAAACCTATAGAAGCCTTAGCACAAAGACTTGAATAACTGAGGCCTAAACCATGAATTTATCTAACCATATTTAATAGCTTTTGGGCTGCTTTGCTTGAACTTCGAAAATATATGAGAAACCAAATTTTGAACCAAAACCAGGTTCACAAACCAAAAAAGGGAGTTGGTTCCGCTCGTAAACCGAACCAGCGTGTAATGGGGTCTGCAGCCCTGGTTCGTGTCTGCATGTCAAAGATTGAAGAGATTGAAGCGCTAATAAGCCAAGATGTCAAATGTAAACAAATCTACTTCAATCCGAAACGCGAACATTAGCCGTTTACATTTCGCCGCTGCGATTGGTCGAGTGCCTCGTGCCACAGTTGGCCCGCACTGCGTGTGATCTTGTAATCGATGTTGTACTTAGTCGGACAGTTGTACTTACACCACGCTACGGCACGGCACGATATCGATTTAATGGACCCACAGCCACAAATGGAAACGATTGACGGCACACACCATGCAAGGAGAGGAGACAGGCGACGGCTCTCAGCGGAGCCGAGTTCGAGTTGGAGTTGGAGATGGAGAGACTTTTGGCTGCAACAGCGCGATATTTATCGCCGATATTGTGATTGAGACCCGTGGGGTCGACTACGCCTTGTTCGGATTGTGCTCAGGCCTCGCACAGTGGGCACGTTTCAAGTTTTTCGCCTTAAAAAAAAGCATGACTGGAAACTGCAAAGCATTCAAATTTAATAAAGGTCAATGAGCTGTTAAGACAGGGCCGTAATTTTAAGAAATATAAAGAAGTGTTCTAACAGGAGAAGCCCGACTAATAGATTCCTAATATATGGCAACAACCGATTGAATCTGGCATTGCCCGCCTCTCTGTCCCACTATGAGTCCATCCATTAAATTCAATCGAGTTTAATTTGGTCAGTTAAGAAACTGACTTTTTAAAAGTAAAAATTTTCATCCTAGCAAAAGGAAAATCATTTTAAAAAAAACTCAAACACAATATGATTTTGGAGTGTTTCGACTCCACAGTGCGTGGACCGCATCGCCACATGAGGTCCACATTCACGTCTGTTGCTCTGAGCTGAAAACATAATGTTGCTCGTAGACACATACTCGATACACGCACACTGTGCGAATCATCATTGTTGGGGGTATTCCGCTAACAATTGGCTGCGGGTTGGAGGTGGTAAAGACATACGATCGCTGATTGAGCTAAAGCCGTGATTAGTTCTAATTGTTGAAGACCTTTTATACATAATTAACAAAAGTAAATGAATAAAGCAAAGCTTGAAGCATGGTGTTAAAGAGAAAATCATGGATAGAGGCACGCAAAATTAGAATAGATCTTTTTATAATGACAATTAAATCGAAAAGTTCTTAGAGTTCAACGAATAAAAAAGCCCAAAATTATGGGAACGATTCAATCTGTGCTGACTGAATGATTGAGAATCACAAGATTGATAATTACAAGCTACAAGACCGAGTAGTAGTTACTTTTTGTAATGTAGATAAACACTTGGATGGGATCTTGGCTAATTTTACTCCAAAGGTTAAAATTCCTGCCCTACAATGTGAATGGCCCTTATATTTCCAAAGGATGTTTCGAAAAGTACGAAACACTAGGTTTTTGCGGAGATCTTTGAAAATGAATTTGGAGCCGAAAAAAATAGATTCGTATAAACATTTTCACCAATTTACCACGCTTTGACGTGATTTCAGTTAGTCGGTCAGTTAAATATATATATATATATAGAATATTCAATTCAATCTATATATTTTCAATTTACTTTAATTTTTAGTCCAAAGGTATAATTTTCTACCATCCCCGCCCGAGATATCATGTCAGAAGGAAATGAAACACTACTGTTAACAATCTCTGTTGTGGACTCTAGATGTTCATACAAGTTGCAATTTGGTGAAAGCTTTAACTCGTTGCGAATTATAAAGAGCCGGAGATTGAAACTCAAAGCAAAACTGAAGTTCATTCGAAGTTCTTCAATATTTTCAATTTTAAACAAATTTATACAAAATTCTCCCCTTTTATATTAAGAATGTAAAAACCGAAGCCATAAAGTATATACGTATAAAATATAATAAAATTATAATTTAGTAATAGAAAGTCCGCACTTACCTGCCTTATAGGCCCATAAAATAACTGCAACTCATATAATACATCCATTTGCCTTCACTCACGACGAAATGATGGCAAACTTGTATGCATTTAACATACTCATTATTTATGGCCGCCGACTTTGTGTCGGGGCTGTCGCTGGTCAAAGGAAAGTCTGGCAAGGAAAAGTCACATTAGAAACATTAAAATAATTTCAAAACACATAAATTTTGAATTATTGCACCGGCACCGTGCACATCGTAGGCGAGTTTTAAAATCAATTTAGTTGCATGGCAACTGGGAGCAGGAGTGCCAGGGATGGGGGATTGGGGTTGCAGCACGGCGCAGTCTGCTGGTGTTTGCACCATAATTAGAGGCAATTTCAAACGATCGTGCCAATGAGCTGCCCGGTGGGCCGGCGTTGCCACCCCGTCGGCGCACGCCCCCCGCCCATACGTACGTTTCAGTCGAGAGGAGCTTCCACTTAAATTGATTTATGTGCGCCTGATCGTGCGCATTTGTCAGGCCGTCGGCAGTTGGCAGTGGGACCTGGTGCTGGCTGGTTGCTTTCCAGTTTTCTGCTAATTAAATTTGCATAAGTGGGCGCACTTTTGACAATGGGCGTGGTCGCGTATTACAGCTGCTTGCCACTGATCTTAGGTAGTACTTGGAACTGTGCACCCTTGTGCGTGACCTTGGCCCAATTGTTGTCTACCGCTAACAAGGCGTAGGGTCAAGGGGTCACTTAAGACAATGCGGTGTTTAATGAAGGGCTCACATCTTGGCATTTGTCAGCGGTCTGCTCCTGCATTTCGATAGTTTCTCAGGCTTTTCCGGAAATTCGTAATTTAATCAGCGCAACATTGTCTATGTCGTGTATCTGTGGGTAAGAATTAGTATTTTGACATTTGCCGATTTTCTGACAATTTTTTTTATTGCTTTTGATTGAATTTCTAGAAATATACACGTAATACTCAAAGTGGGCCAACTAACAGGCAACCTAACCTTAAAATGAGGGTAACTAACGGTGAAGCCAATTACACGCGGCAAGCAGAAAGCAATAACAAAATCAAATTCAAACATGCACACGCATGCATGTGTGTGTGTATGTATGCAAGCATTTGTGTGTGTGCGTGTTTTTGACAATGCAATAAATGAGCAACTTTTCAAAACGAAAGTGTCGATAGGTGGCGGTTCGTTCATCCAAACAACAACAACAACGAGAAGACAACGAAGCAGAGACGGAGAGGCAGAAAGCAAACGGTAGCTAAAGAGGAAGTGCCATAAAAATGCAATTTTAGATTTCATCAACTGATAAGAAAAGTTTTCAAATTAGCCACAAATGGAATATGAAATGTGAATATTGCGAATGAAAACTGTAAAATGAACAACACAACAACAATAAGAACTTATACTCATATGCTTGATTAGAAAACAAAACAAGTGTGCTTTAGTTGGGTGTACCCGACTAGCAGCTACCCTGTAATAATAATACCAAAGATAATCTTAGGACTTTATTGTCTTTGATAATACTAACACTTTAATGTACAAAACTTAATACTTTTCGAAGTACTATAAGCTATATTATGCAATTTGGTGGGAACTGATGGGAGATATGCAAAAGGAGTTTCTAGTTTCGACATATGCTGAAATAGCTTGTATGATATTGTTGCATTCATACATACGAACTAAATATATATATACTTGATGTTAAGTCAAAGAAGTCTGCTTGTTACATACATATGCACTAAACCATTATACCCTTTCTTTACCTACATTCAATGGGTTGAGGGTATAAGAAGGACGACAGCGAATAGAGAACGCTTAACTAACGGAAAGGCAGCCGCTGCCAGTCGGCCTACAAATTGCTGGCGTCACGCCAAAATACCGTTAGAAAGTTTTGTTCCGAACGTTGGACTCCACCGTGTTCCAGCGACCACCCACGCCCACCAGCCGCCCCCGCGTACCGGAGGGTATACAAAGTATTCACAGCATACTCTAAGCACTGAGTACGGTAAAGGTATCAATTTCACTTTATCAAATGGTAACAATCGCAGTGCCTGAGATTAAAATAATAATCGAAAAGGATAAGAAAGACGAAAGAAAGCAAAGAAATGCGTTCAAGCAAACTGTCGGCGACGTCGGCCAATCTTAAAGTGCAGATCAATGGCAGAGCAGACGGCAGCAGCAGACATCGCTCAACATAATTAACGCCATATAAAAAGAACGCGCTCGGATTGGCAACAGCATCCGCATTCCGCATTCGGGTCCAAACAGTAGCTATGCCAAGGTAGCTGATGCGGCGCCTGTAGGATTTGTCCAAATGTTAATGATGATCCCTACAGTTCACATTCAAACGGAGAGGGTAGTTGTCAGTCACCGTGTGTGTGTGTGTGAGAGAGAGAGAGTGTGTGTGTGTGTGTGTGTGTGTGTGTGCGCGTCGCCGTCGTTTGTTTTTGTATTTAATCATTGCACTGGTGCTAATCCTGAGGGCGGCATGTTGTTTGTTTTGGTTTTAGGCAGATTTGCCAAATACTGATGAGATTTTAATTAGGGCACGCATATGACATTTATTCGAATATGTTTCAAAACGGGTAATCCAAATCATTAGTTATACTAAAAGCAAGAAGTTTTGAAGCTTTACGCATCGAGTATTCAACCTTCTTATTTTTAAATTATGCACTTAAACATAATAAATATTAACGTCATTTTACTTTCATAAATGCAGCAAACCTTCAATTGCACATCTTTTTCTCAGTCTGGCAGCCCTGACGTACAGTGTTGCAAAGTGCTGAAGTTCAAATTATTAACCATCACTTGCTGGTTTTCAGTATTTTTTGTATATTTATTTTCCCAAAATTGTGGATTTTTTTTGCTTTCCATAAGCGGCCGCAGTCTTAGTCTTTAACAAGTCGTTCGTGGGTCGTGTAAATAATGTAAGAATATTTAGCAGTTTTGTAAGAGCAAAAAAACCCTAAAATACAAGTGGCAAAAATTTGATTTAGAAACATGTTTACATGCGACAAATTAAATTGCTCAGCAAAGAGCTATGATGTCGACAAAGGCAAAAGCAGCAGCAGAATGCACACCAACACACAGATACGCGTACATATAGCCATACATATGCATATGTATATTTTCCGTCTACGTTTCAATTTGATTTTCGGAAATTTCACCTTCGCTTTGCTGTTTTCGGCTATTTCAAACTTGTTTTTCAGCTGTGTCTGTTTCATAGTCTCATTTTTTTTTCATTTACCTTTGCCAGCCGCTCACTTTTTTCGTTTGCTTACGTATTACGTGTATTAGTGTGCGTGCGTTTCACGAAATTATCACTAATTTGCACTAAAATGGGTTGTAAAGTGGCATAATTTGATGCGTATTCAAGTACGTACATACATGCACACATGTATGTATATTCGTTCGCATAAGACTTGCTTTGTGAGATCAGCTGTAATTTACATAAAGAAATTGGCAACGCTTACACGGCACGTGTAAGTGTATATTTTACTTATGTATGCGTGTGCATATGCATGTGCTGGTTCTGTGTGTTTGTGCGTGTTATCGCAAAAGTGCTGCGCTCGTACATACAAACATATTGTATGCATTGAGAGCAAATTTGCCATACATACCAACGTTCATATGTATTTATGGAATGTTTATTTGCATTTGCATTTAATTGTGTTATATCGATAAAGAAAGCACACTTGCGACAATGTGTACCATGAAGGGGACCAATCGTGGGCTCTTTGCAATTGATAAATATTAGTGGAATGCGCTTACGATTTACATAAATAATGCGTAGTTGTTGCGAAATGTGTGTCAATATGTGAGACAACGACGCGTCAAACCAGCAGGTGCAGCTGGCCAGTGTTGTAAAACGAGACGAATACATATGCTATGCTTGTATTTATGTGTTCGCGCGCGTGTGTGCGTGCGTGTGCGTGTGTGTGTGTGAACAGTGCAAACATATGGCAAAACTGACAGAAAAAAAAAAGACTTCAATAATAATTGTTGCATTCTCTTCGCAGCCCCGCAGTTGCCCAACAACAACTGCAACTAAGACTTTAAACCGACTGTAATGATAGGATCAAAGCAAACGTAACTATGCTACTAGCAATTACGCCGAGTCACACGAGATTCCAGCACCAATGCCAAATGTGACAAAGCGAACGCCTGAATGCCGCCCTGAAGGAGTAGCAAACGAAGCAAACAGATATAGAAATCAAATTACAAGTAAATCAAGAAGAGCCGCAACAACAACAACAACAAATTCCAATCAACACTCGCATGCCCGGCCACGAAGCGTCGCACCTAGAAGACAATATAATACAATTTTGATTTACTTTAATTTCGTTTGCATCGATTAAAACGTGTTTGTTTGCGTGCAACACTTTTTCCACCGTGTCCCGGCGTGTGCGAGAAAGTCTTGCAACGTACAAAACAACACGTTGATAAGCACGGCCGCAAAAATTCCCAAATCCGTGGCAACATCCAAACTGCAGCGCCTCAAAGCCAAAGCAGCTGCAAGTCAACACTACGGCGGCAGTTATCGTAAGTCCGGTAACAGCGGCAGCAACGGCAGCGGCGGCGCTGGCAGCGGCGCTGGCAGCGACTTAACTAATTTCACAACAACAGGCGGCTACAACTATCAACGCGGTGGCGCTGCGGAGGAGCGTAGCTTTGCTGCAACAGCGGCGACGTCGGCGTTGGCGTTGGCGTCTACAGCTGCCGACACTATTGGCGACAAGTCACATCACTACAACAACAACAACAACAACAGCACTAGCAACAACAACAACAACAACAATTATCAAAAGTCAAACTACACCAGTGCCAATTATAATAATCAGACCCAAACAAACCACCTGCCTTACCAGCCTACACCATACTCCTCCCACAACAACAACAACAACAGCAGCAACAGCAACAGCTGCAGTGGAAACGGGGGGGGAACGATGATGATGACCAAACAGAAGCCAACGCTTACCGAGCGCCTCAACATTGGCGGGGACGAGGTTCGCGAGCTTAAATTGGGCGCCACATTCAATCCGAAAAATACATCGACCGCATTTCACACAATCAAATGTGAGTTGTACACAAATTCTGTTAATGTTAACGCTCGCTTACGTGTGTTATGCAACCGTCTACGATTTCCAGATGACTTTAAGCCAGCGAGTGTGGATACGAGCCGGATGGCAACTGTGGATGTTGGCTCCAATAATCAAGTTACTGTTACCGTGCCAAATTTAGGTAAGTTTCGAGACAACTCCACACAACCATCTCCAAATAGCAAGGGTATGCGAGTTCAAGTCCTTTAGAGATGCATTAGATGGTAATAGAGTCCGATTTTGGGCACTTGAATTCTAAAACTTATTCGATAAGTGAATAATCGGATGCTGTTATCGCAGTTTAATCGTTAATCGATTTATCGATACCAGTCAATGAAGAATTCCGATTAATTCTAATTTGTTTACTGAATTTCATTATTCTGTCGGAATTCAAAAACATAATAATCGAAAAAGTACCTATCGAGTGCTTCAACAAATTGATTAAATAAGAACAACCTTCAAACAATAAAGTTAATTGTTGTTAACTTACAAATTACTCGACGCTTTGTGAGTTATTTTGCTTGCATACATATTTTGCAATGCATTTTGCTGTAATTTTAATTAATACAAATGCTAATTATCAATTGCATTCCGCAGAGGAGTAAAATGTTATGAATCCATGTCTATTTATCGATCAATTTGACTTAATGGAATATCGATTAATGCAATTTCGATAGAATTATTCCCATTATTAGAGATGATATTGATATCATTAGAATAGTGGGAAAATATACTGGCAAATTCGAAATATATGCATGAATCTCTCTCCGGAAAGTCACAGACTTATCCAATTAGCATTCTATTAAGGCGGCACGTGTTATTTTCAACTGAATCAACTCGGTCGAATTTCTTGGCAACCCGTCAGCAGAGGAAGCAGAACATGTTTAAGTGAAAGCCAGTTTGATGAATCGCCAAAAAACGTTCAGGAGCAGAATTAAACAGGAAAAGCATTTAATTAATTGCCACGATGAAGACACGCAATCAAATCAAAAACCAGCGCAAGCTGCCTTTTAGTATTCAAATCAAATTACATACTAAGTATGCTAATAAACCGAACTTGTTCCCCGAATGCTGACCAGCTGCGGCATTGCGTTTATCGACTGCGTGCACATTAACCCCAAGCACAGCTGATCGACCCGTTCACTCATTATCACAAGCTCGGAACACTTCGCATTCCAAATGAGTCACAGCTGTGCAGCTAGCCTAATAATTGGAGCCACACTCGGTAAATTCCTGCGCATTTCACGTAATGCTGCAAGTGAAATAAACGTGGAACGGCAAAAGAGAGTTCCCAAACTCTAAATACATGTATGTATCCATGCACTTTGGCTCGACTTGCCTCTCCCTCCCCCTCTCTCTCACTCTCTCGTCGTCTGCCCGCTGATGA